AAAGAAATGACAACTACAATATTTTTGGTGATTTTCATCACAACTTTTTCCTTTTTTCATTTTTTTTGAAACGGGCATAATCGTGACTCGTGCAAGGCCCGACACCACTGTGTTATCTCCCTGACCCATTTATCGAACTTTAGTCCAAGAAACCCCCAAGCTCGACAGCTCGAGAGACTTAGGCGACGAGGTGCACCCAACGGGTTAAGCTCGAGTCAGAAAGGCGGGGAAATCAGAGCGTGAATCACAACAATACCACAAATTATTATTTTTATCTGTTTTTTTTTTTTTTTTTTTTTTAACATCGAACATAAAATAAAAACGTAAAGACCATTGATAGAACTTTTAGCCAACAACTGGAAATCGTGAACACATAATTCAATTCTAACTCGCCCCCCAAACCTCAGGCTATTATACCCCTCAGAAAAGTGCGCTCAAGCTTAATCGGAAATGATTCGAAAGGCTATCCACACAAGTTGCAAAAACGCAGTCGGAAGATACATCTATAATTAGCCGGTTATCCATAATTTCAATTTTAAAATCAACTAGCCCATCTACTAATTCATTAATTGCTTTGCTTCAATAGAATCCGGAAATGCAACTTACACTCGATCCTAAATGAAATGCATGTGACAAACATAACACAATTACGGAAATCGAAATACATAAATGAAACTAAATTATATGATATGCATGCAAAAGACCAAATCAAAATAAGCTAAATTCCCCCCAAACTTAAATCATGCATTGCCCTCAATGCGAAAAATAAAAGAAATGAGAAAGAAATACGCCCTGAACAGTCGTGCCGCAGATTGATCAGTGTTCTACGGCTGCGAAAGTGTTCTTTGGTTGCACGGGGTGCCGTGAATTTTGGCACCGAGGGCGAATTGCCGAAATTGTCTAGACTTTCCGACTTCTTACTCTTCTTTCCTTGGGAACGAGATACCGGCAAAAATCAAGAAAAATGGGTGAAATTTAGCTTTAAAATAAAAAAAAATTGCAAAAACGACAAAAATAAAGAAAATAAATGACGATAAATAAATAATGGGTTGCCTCCCATTCAGCGCCTGTTTTACTGTCGACGGCTCGACACAATTTGGACGGATTATGTCCAATCCAAAGCCTTGTAGATTGCGCATCCATCCATCAGTCTTGAAACATACTTTGCAATCATATCATGGACTAGATTGCAATCTTGTAATGACCATCCCAACCCATGGTACTTTTCGTTTACTTGGGAAATCAGTCGGTAGGAGACTAGGACGGGTTGCTTGCCTACCGATCTCTCAAACTCGTATACAAGATACTCGAGCTTTGGAGAAAGCTCTACCTCAAATTTGAAACTCGTCTCCTCGCTCACACTCAAATCTGGAATAGCAATGTGGATAGGATTATGTTCGTCAAGTTCCTCTACCATCATCTTCATCCCACTCTCATCACACGCTAAAGTATCTACAGAACTGGGATGAATAATTCCCTCAAGGTGCTCAACCTCATCGTTTATACGAAAATCTGTAAATACCTCGTTGTCTTCATAAAGGATGGTCGGATGTGGTTTGTGAATGTGACATCTCTTGAAATTTTCGAAAATATTTGCCAAAAAGTGGAGTTCTTCTTGTAGATAGCAGAAGTGCTCATTTGTTTGTGCAATTCCATTTTCTGGGTTCAACCTTCGATGTCTTTCAATATCCTCCAACTCATGTTGAATGTAATCAGCTCTAGATTGAATCTTGCAAAGAGAGAGATCATAAATCGAGGCCATCGATGTATACAAATCTGCTATAAAAATAAAAAAATAAATCAAAAGAAAAAAAATTGTCTAAAGTAAAGTAACGATAGTTGGTAACGATATTAGTAAATTCAAGATTAACTAATTCCCCGGCAACGGCGCCAAAAACTTGATACGACGAGGTGCACCCAACGTACTATCGATAAAGATCTACAAATCCGAATCTAATGTCAATTCTATGTTCGCTAACCCAGACACTAAAGTACCCTAACCCCCGTCTCCAGTGTAGTTAGAGTCTACCCACAGGTCCGACGTCTCCGTTCAGAACCTGATATTAAGAGAGCATTTAGGTCAAGTCCTTAAGGGCTACCCGAGGTGCATCACGTCTCCGTTTCCACAACCCGAGCTATGTTTTTCTAAAATCAAACGAGAAATCCTCTCTCGAGTTCATTCCCATTTAGAATCAATTCAACTGTTGGCCAAACAATCGAAAGCATTTAATACATGAAAACATAAACATAATCAAAGAACGACAAATAGATCACAGATCCGGAAATCAAAATCAATATATACAAGGTTTCATTTCCCTAAAAGAAAATGCTCAGTTCATTACAAACATAGCATCAAAATGAAGAACACGAGAAATCATAAACAAAACGTAAAGAAAAGTTTATGAAAAACCCGAGTCGAAACCCTCGTCGAAGCTTCCCGCGAAGAACTGGCGAGAACCAAAGAGAAAACCGAAGAAGAAGTCGAGAGATAATCGAGATTTTCAAAAATGAAAAAGAGACCTTCTATTTATAGTGAAAAATCAAAGAAAAATATCTAGTCTCGATTTCTGTGCCCAGATCGCGATCTGGGCTTCTTGGATCGCGATCTGGCAACCTCGAAAACTGCGCACCGCCTTCCAGATCGTGATCCAGGAAGTCCGGATCGCGATCTGCCCCAATTTTTCGCTGCTACTGGAATTTGCCACCAGATCGCGATCCGGTGATTCTGGATCGCGATCTGGCCTCTGCATTAACTTCAAACACTTTTTTCACCCTTTTTCAGCCCGAATTCGACAATTGTGCATTTCACAAAAGTTGTAGCCCTTGAAGTTAGCTTTCTAAATCTACTTGAATCAGCCCAATCGGAGGTCGTATGCAAAAGTTATGCTTGAAATACCAAACACTGCCACAATCCGCGAGAATGCACTTTTGCACGTGTTTGGTTTGATTCTCGGCTTCGCTTCCAAAATCGTCTCGAATCGGCAAAAATAGCTTATCTTTACCTAAAAAATAAATAAAACAAAAACAACATAATATATACAAATAAAGCCGAAAACTCGGACAAACGAGACCAAAACTCGAAGAATTGATAAGTGAAAATCATGCAAAATGAACACTTATCAGTTGGTGGCGGATATTTCGGATATTGCAAGAGAGATCCACTTTGGGGTCAAATTTGTAATGTGGGTAGAGCGGCAGGGAAGATGGAGTAAGTATATGGGTGATTCTGCAATTTTCAGAACTTTTTCAGATAGGGTGGTGGATTTCTAGATATTACAAATTGACCCCACATAGGGTGCATTTCTGGTTTAAGAACCAAAATAAAAAATAGTATATAATACAGGGACCAAAACTGTAAATATCCCAAGTTTATGATAAATAATATAATAAATAAAATGTTTTTTAAATCGTAAATCGTCAAAATTGATCGATTTTCTGGTATTTAAGATTTATTTTAAAATTGATCGATTTTCTGGTATAAATGAATTGAATAGTGAATCATAAGATTTTAAGCTCGGTATTGCGAAATTTCCTAAAGGAGTCACACGCGATGACAGTGAGTATGAGTCGAGGCACGCCGCGTTGATGGCCGATATTTCGGGTATTGCAAGAGAGATCCACTTTGGGGTCAAATTTGCTATTTCTGTGGAGTGGATGGGAAGATTGAGTAAGTATAGGGGTGATTCTGTAATTTTCAGAAATATATATATATATATATATATATATATATATATATATATATATATATATATATATATATATATATATATATATATATATATATATATATATCTTATTAATAAAAGTAAGGTTGTTCCTGCTAAACCCTAGGAAGTTTTTCCCGCTCATTTGATAGATAGTTATAATTTTCATGTCTTTATTTAATTATTTATTTTTATTATTTATTTTCATTTAATATCTTAAAACTTAATAAATTCACTAAGTATCCATTTTTGTTCCTGCTAAAAGCCTAAACCCTATGAAATTTTCCATTCTCATTTGATAGTTATAAATTATAATTGTCATTTATTTAATTAATTTATTTTATTATTTTATTATATTTATTATAATCAAGTTTAATAAATCTGTTAAGTATCTAGACTTTATGGCCCCAAATCTAAGTATCATTTCCCACTAAAATTGTCATTTTACTTAATATTAATTTGATGGAAAAATTATTTAATTGTTTAGATAAACATTTATTTTTTATCTTATTAATAAAAGTATTTTTTTCCCACTAAAATTGTCATTTTACTTAATATTAATTTGATGGAAAATTATTTAATTGTTTAGTTTTTATCTTATTAATAAAAGTAAAGTTGTTCTCTTATTAATAAAGGTAAGATTGTTCCTGCTAAACCCACATTTGATAGTTATAATTTATAATTGTCATTTATTTAATTAATTAATTTTATATTTAATATAATCAAGTTTAATATATCCGTTAATTATCCAGATTTTTTCGCCCCAAATTTACATATCTTTTCCCACCACAATTGTCATTTTTACTTAATATTAACTTGATGGAAATATTATTTAATTGTTTAGAAAAATATTTGGTTTTTATCTTATTAATAAAAGTAAAGTTGTTCCTGATAACTCTTGAGATTTAATGGTATTATTGATTTACAGTAAAATTACTGAGGCATGTTATGGGTGATAAAGAAGAAGATTCATCAAACTTGAACATTAACTGAGATAAGATAAATATACAACCATATTACATTAAAAAAAATAAAGTTAAATTAATAAAGATGACAAAAAAAGTTTATGGATGGGAGATTATCGTCAATATATATATAGCAAAATATCGAAATGAATTGAAATTTGAAACTTCAATTTTGTCATTTGAATTGAACTTAACTTTGTATTAGTATTACTTTAATCCCGTGCATCGCACGGGCCAAAAATCTAGTATATTTAAATAGCATATTTATAAATATACCCGTGTACTTTTTTGGGGGTATATTTATAAGAGAATAAAAACTGAAACACAACCATAACAAATTGTAAAATTATATTACAAGACCACAAAGTTTTACAACATAGCACCTTTGTTCCTAGATTTAAACACAATTCATGTACCAAATACAACATTAAAACAACACAATAAGTAAAATAATTATTGAGCAGAATGGGTACAATAATTAGTTGCATCCATAATTTCTTTTTGTTTTGTTTTAAATGAAATTACCTTCCCGAATCCGAACGGAAGGTTAAATAAAGTAAAAGAAGCTTATCAATAATTGGTCGGTTTTGCCCCATTAATAGTCGGGGCAGCACCTCGAATTGTCTTCACATAGGCAACATAGTCGCCATAGTGCATGGTGAATAGTGTGCTCTGGTAACGAGTAAGTTGAATACTCTTTCGCAGCTGTCCAGTGATTTTCCCACTGTAACCTGCCTTTCTAATCAACGAGTCGATTGCTTCGATCACCGTCCACCCTTGTATCATTAAAATAATAACAAATAATCATTACAAAACTATGGTTTGTTACTCGATTTCTATCAATTGTTTTCGAGTTAAGAGAATAATTGAAAGTTTACCTTCATGAGCAGCAACCTCAGGCAAATAGGTGGCGCTTCGCCTAGTGTTGTAATCGGGATCAGCAAATTCAATAATTATGCCATGCTTTCCCACCTGCGTCGTATGCACGAAATTTATTCAGAGAAATGTGACAAATATTTGAAAATTGATTACGATAACTGACTGACCTCCCAGTCGAGGTAGTCACGAGCAGGTTCGTAGTTGGTCAGGATGGAAACTGTACATTCCAAGTTAGGCAGCTCTTTAGCTTGTATCGGGGGGAACCTGCGGTCCCTGAGGGCACTGCACAGTACAAAAACAACAAGTTGAATGATTTTGCGCACAGAGATTCGTAGGAAAACAAGTCGACCTTATTAAAAATCCAATTCAACAAGTAACAACGAAATATTGAGTATAAAAAAAACCCCATTGTCTAACCAAATTAACAAATTAACAAGCTTAAATGTTCTACCTTTTGGGAGAAAAGATTACAATCAGATAAGTACTTTTCATATTTCGAAACAAAAGGTTTTCTATTAATCAGTAAACTCCTAATCTGCTCAAGTTTATGTATTGTCATGATTAACATAAATCATCCTCCTAACTGAAACGAGTGAGTTATGCCTGTCATTTGAGAACTTATTCCCAATTTGAAAAAAAACATATAGAAGGGCAGATGATATAAGATAGGACACGACCTTATCGAATGTACATGTTTGTTTCACAATGAAACGGCATGTATACCAATCTACTATGGGTTTCAACTTTCAAGAATGTCATGTACATGATTCAAAAGCAGAGAAAGGCAGCAAATGCACTTAAGAATATACACTACTCAACTATGATGTCTCGGAAATCATGACCACCAAGATCTAAAGTCCTTTCGGCATTTCAAGTTGAAAAAAGAAAATCCTTAATTACCTTGTTAAAGCATAATCCTTGAAACCATTAACTATGCAGCGAGCCTCCAAAGTCCCTATGCATCCACGTAAGCGAGGCTCCCCACCATTGACGGCGTTCTTCCAAGTCACAAACAACGGGCTGAAACAATACATCAAAATAACTCTGGTCATCCTCATGCAGTTATTATAGGTATAGAGCAGATCATTTCAAAAAATCGAAACCAAAAAAGAGAGCGGTCATATGCTTATTATCTATCTCAAACGATCAAGTCATAAAAGATGAGAAATTTAAAATAATAACGTACGATATCCAATCCTGATAGATTGTGTATTTTTTTTCCAGACGAATATGTGATGACATCTTCATTACAAATACTTCTTAAGTTATTTCCAATCCCAAATTTATGTAATTTCAGAAATATGGTATTATTAGGAAACAACAGGTTGCAGAACATTCCCAATCCATTGCAGTAGCTCGAGTAAAACTTTGGAAAATCACAACGAATAAAACAGCAATGCACGCATCCGAACCACACGTAAATACATACCGCAGTGTAAATCGAACGACATCTTTCAAAAGAAGCACAGGCACCTACTCTTCATATGTACACGAAAATATCAAGTCGAAAAACATACCATTGTACATAAAATCGCAAACATCACACTAATTCCACCAAAAAACGAGCTCAGAAATTGAAAAAATCAAACACAATTGCAATTATCACATATAACAACAATACTTAATACGAAGAAAACATGCAAAATTATAGAGAGAGAAAGAGGGGCGAATTCCTTACTGCTGACCCTCGTCGAAAGTGGGAGGAGGAGCTTCGTCGCCGTTGTAGTGGGCCACCAGTGCGTCGAAGCAGTACACCACCATCTCCCTATTCGCCGACACCATCTTCGTTTTTTTTCCAAAATTATATCACCCTGTGTCACAATACAGATAATCAATCGAGATCGGTTTGCAAGTGAAGAAGGGGGTGAAATCGAATTAGGGTTTGAGAGAGGAAATTTCTTCGGTGAAGGAATGGAGATGGAGTGTGTGTGGGGACTTTAGGTTTGGTTCCCAGAATAATTGATTTAACGGTGGGTGGGGGCTCTGGGCCCAGCATCGATTGAAGCGGCGGTGCTGACCGGCGGTGGTGAGCGGCGAGGGGGAGGACGCAGAAACGACGCCGTATTGCATAGAGCAGATTAAAAAAAAAGTAAAAAACAAGCAGACAGGACACGGTCAAGCAGCTTGGAAAATAAAGTGAAAAGAAAATAATTGAAGAAGATGATTGGAGAGGCAGTACGAAACGGCGACGTTTTGGCATTAAACGGGGTAAAAGAAAAGGCAAAAGAAAAGGCAATAAAAAAAAAGGGCCGATCCGTATATATATATATTTTTTAAATTATGGCCACCTCTGAAGTAATGTTAAATTACGAAAAAATCCCTTATGTTTGAATCTTCTTACACGTCCACCCTTGCTTGTGTCAAACTTAACATAATTTTTTAAATTATGTGGAATATTCTCCGGTTTGTACCCGTTTTACGCCATTCCAACACCCTATTTTAAAACAAGATGATCGTAAGATCTGTGTCGTAACTTGTAAATATCAGATTGCGATGCATCAGAAACTATCTTTATGCATAAAACGAGTACAAACTAGAGAACATTCCTAAGAATTTAGAAGATTCTGTTTAATTTGATACCATAAGAGTGGACGTGTAAGAAGATTCATAAATAATGGGGTTCGTTGTTATTACCAAAAAATATTAGGATTTTTTTCGTAATTTGACCTTACCACGGGTGGCCGTAATTTACCCCAAGAAATTATTTTTAAAAAAAATCGTGTTTAAATGTACTTGTATAATATAAACTATAATCAAAATAATGGTTGACTGCTATTTTGTAGATAAGGCAATATATTATTAGTTTTTGGCAATGGTGATGAAGAATCAACTGCTACGGCACATTTAAGCAAAATATTGAAGAATGTGTGTATGGTTGATATAATTAATTTTTATATGACTGAAAATCAATAATATTATATATAATAATGCTTTGAGCACTTTCTTGGCTTTTTTACCATGTAAAAAAGCTTATATAAACACATTCTCTCATCCTAATTTTCACATCCAAAATTCACTCTGAGAGAGAGAGAGAGAGAGAGAGAGAGACTTACATTGCAAAAGATGAACCACCTTAGAAAAGGAGCCACTCTTGTCTTCCTATTGATCCTTGTTTCTTATTCGTACGGGGCAAGATTTCGATCTTCTTGCAACCCCAGCGGCAGAATAAGGGGCGAAAACCCCCCTCCGGGACAATGCAACCAAGAAAACGACTCCGACTGCTGCAAAGCAGGGGATTACTACACCACTTACACATGTTCACCTCCCGTTTCTGGTAGCACGGGTGCAGTTCTGACGCTCAACAGCTTCCAGAAGGGGGGTGATGGAGGTGGGCCCTCCGAGTGTGACGGTAATTACCACTCCGATGAAACGCCAGTTGTCGCTCTATCGACTGGCTGGTACAGTGGAGGGTCGAGATGTCTAAAAAACGTGACTATAAGTGCTAATGGCAGGACCGTGATAGCTATGGTGGTCGACGAATGTGATTCTACTATGGGGTGCGACAACGAACACGATTATCAACCACCTTGTCCTAACAACATCGTCGATGCTTCGAAGGCTGTCTGGAAAGCTTTGGGTGTACCTGAAGATAACTGGGGAGACTTGGATATCTCTTGGTCTGATTCTTAGTTCTTGTATTTATTTTAAGTTTATAATTATTCGAGTTGTACTTGTTTAAATTATGTAAAAATATTGTGTAACATATTCTATCATGTTCAAAGAAAAATATTATTACTATGGTTTCGCAACTGCGGGCCCGGCCCGGCCCAAAAACTATTGAACAATTTGCCTAGGAAGAAAATATACATAATCATGCACAGGAGCAATAGTTGAGTAACATCACTATACACATCTCCAAATTGAACAAACAAGACAAAGGCAACTGATGCAAAGAGCTTTATGAAAATCCAGAATTACATAAAAATCTCGGAAAAAAAAAAAAGTTGCAAGAATAAAGATTTAACAACTCACAACATACTATCGGTCCTCGCCGGAAGACGCCGGAAGAAGTTGAGCGGCGCAGGCGGCAGCTTATGACGAAACTTAGGATGCCTCATAACATAGAGTCCACCTGTCACAATCAGCAATCTCAAAGGCACAGCGTACAACACCGCAGAAGCCACAACACAGAACAACATAAATATCACAGTCGCACGCGGGTCCCGCCAGCTCTGCAGTGCCTGAATCCTCTCCCCCTGCGAGGCAACATCCCCCACCACTGTCTGAATTCTCCCCGCCACACTCCTCAACCGATCGTACCTCATTCTTACAAGATCCGAGCTTTTAGAAGTAGGAAAAGTATCGAACTCCTCGTCCAGCTCATCAGAATGAACCGAGTCCGCACAGGATAACCGTGGGTTCATATGCGGAGGATACTTCGGCCTGTATCTATAGTTCCAAAGCCCGATTAAGAAGTTGTACATAAAAAGCGTCGGAAGAATCAACTCCGGGAAAAAAATCAGCATTAAGAAGAGGACATGCACTAGCACTGTAGTTATAGGGTTAGTCCATGCACAAACTTCTTTAAACCATTTCCCAACTGCAAATACTCCGTTAAAAACCGACATCAGCCTGAAAAAATTCGCCTTGCTTCTCCTCATGCTCCATAGGTGTGAGTCAGCGTCTGTCATGTACTCGACGACTTCTTTTCCGAGGGGCGGCTCAGCCCTGCTCAGGCGTGCCGCCACTATAGCGACAGCTTGGTGACGCAGCATGTCTAACTGCACCATAGTCAAAGGCATCTTATAGTGCATTTTGGGCAACAAGGGTTTCGAGTACAGCAGCATCATGTTCGGCATTGAAGTGCACGAAAACCGAATTGCTAAATGCAGCTCACCCATTGTCTTTACGCCGGACGGATGGAGAACTAGCAATGGGTAAGAATGAGTGTAGACTCTTCCCGTTTCGAGTGTCGAAATTCGGATCCTCACTTTCCCGATTTTCGTGTCTCTGTTTCCGTTCGAACCCTTGTCGGTAATTTGGCCGTTATCGAAAACACCGACAGTTAGGACAGTGGCTGGATCGAAAACTTCCCAAGTGTACTGCTCGTTGTACTTTGGGTTTAAGCTGTCTGTGATTGTTCTTGTCCTAACCCATTTCTGACCGTACTTTGCAACACAGTAAGTATCCGAAGTGCCCCGATTGTTTCTCGTCTTCATCGCTGTAAGAGCGTCAGCATTTAAAATGCCCAGTTCAAGAATTCCAATTGGTGGCTTCCATAGCTGCTTAGCTGTCGGTCGAAGATCGCTACTATAATGCGTAGATTCATCAAGAACATGGTAACCACCATCAAGGCAAACACGAAGATGGATCCTACTCGAGAACTTATCTTTCTTCGGCTCCTCAATATCGGAACTACTCGGTGTTTGCAAATTAAACCATCGAGAGTGAACAATTCGATCATCCGCACGCCTTTCGACAGTGGCCAAGGGTATAAATGTCCTACCAAGAACCTCGTCTTTATTTGGGCCCACTCGATCCTCAACCGTGAGAATCAAATGGTCATCAAAAGGCTCAGAAGCAACGAACATCAAATCTTCATTCCACAAAACATTCGTATTCTGCGACTGCATCGATTTCGTTTTCAACACTTGGTTACCTATCTGAGCTTTAATATGCACATTTGATAATCCACGATTTTTTTCCGACAAAAAAACCAAGTCTTGAGCCTCGATCACGTTCACGCGTACGTACCACAGCCTCGGAGAATGGTACACTTTCGAACGGATGTGATTCGAAGGTGTGGAGCTATCAACAGAGGTAGCTTCGTCCGAGTGCCAAGCATCGGAGAAAGCTTCATCGGCTTGCGTGCCTATCCAAACAGCCAGCATCAATTCGCCTTTTCCCTTTTCGCCCTTCTTGTTCTCGAGGCGGTACCACTGCGGGGCTAATGGACTGTCAGGAGGGACCCGCGTCGGAATCTCGTGGAGATCGAATCGAACAACACCAACAAACTCATCTTTCAAGATATGCTTATCTTTCACTAGAACTTCCAAAAGAGAGGACTGCATTCTATCTTTCGAAAAGGTGAAAACAGTGTTCCACTCAGGGCTTTGATTCTTCTCGAGATGCTTCGTGACTCCTTTGTAGTTACCGAGTTTGACTTCCACGTAAGGGTCAAGACTCCCTGTGAGATCCTTTGAGGGAAGGTCGTTAGCTTTGACAACCCTAACAAAGAGGAACTGCATTTGCTCGACAAGGCCCACTCCGAGAATAGGGTTCGTTTCTCTAAGTGCAAAATTACTCGACTGCGTGTACGAATTCGCAAACATGTTGAACATTTGCGGTGCATGATTTTCAGACCTCATTTCATCACCCCTGTACACGATAGGCTGCTGTGAGGGTGCAGGAGAAGGCGGTTGTACCTGATTATTCGATCTAGGGAGATGGAAAAACGAGCGTATCATACCCTTTTTTCCATTTGTTGATATGGCCGAAGCTGATTCTTCGATCTTTCTAGAAGTCAACTCACTTTGGTTTGACTGCAAACTCGAATGCGACGAAGAAGAAGAAGCAATATCTGGAAGAGGGATAGAAGACTTGATAGAGGGGTCATCGGTTACATATACTTTCAAGCCAAGCTCGCCTCTTGCACGTGAAAACATGCTCCCTTTTTCCAAAGGGTAGTTAAATACAACGGCATCTGAGTGGGGAACAAATGACGTGGCGGTTAATCGAACCTTTCCAAGTGAAGTTTTTGAATTGATGGCTTGATTGATGTTGTAGATATGAGCATCGAGTGTGAGACTGTGCAGTTCGTTCGGGTTCGATACGTTGAAATAGAAACTCTCGTTCCAAAACGGGTCGAGGTCTTTTTCTTTAACGGTGGTTCGGAATTTCTGACCGTCAAATTGAAGCTCGACGAAAGCGTTGGACGAGCCCTGCCCGTCTCTGGGCATTAGGTTGTGGGCCCTCACAACTTCCACTGCTAGCTTGAGATTGGTCATTGAGTTACGCCACGAAAGTTAGTTACCTGTTTGTAAGAAATAGACGTGAAAATTGAGCATTGATCGGAATTTTAGTTAAATCATAAACTTCATACTCATACAAAGACAACGAAATATCCTAATTATCATCTAGCGATATGCTGAATGCAAATGGATTCAAGACTAATCTTTCGCAGAGGCAGCAAATTTTTTTAACCGTCTGTCTACCTTGTTCGACTTTCAAAATCGAATCTTTTCTTCAATTTCTCTTGTTTCAGTTTCTGAGTCAAATTCGAATTCTTGATTGAAGTAATTGGAGGCATCAAAATTGCTTTATTGTTTCATGAAATTACTCACACATTTCCTCTGTTCTTAATTAACATTAAGAGTACTTACTTAAACCACCAAGTCAATGATAATCAGACAAAGTCAACTAGGAGATTGAAGCCCCAAATCCAATTCTATTTAACAAAAAAAAAAAAGGTTATATTCCGTACTTTATCCCAGGAATAAGTGATCAAGATTGATGGCTTCCTTTCTCCATCAACCAATTTATTATTACACATACAGAGATTCCAACTTTTTAAGGTTTATTTGTAATATGACTGAAGGATGACCTAAACAAGAAACTGATGAAAAAGCCCAGATGAATAGAATATTCTTGAAAATCACATAACTCAAAACTAGAGTCCTTTTCACTGTAGTAAAACTTTCGAAGGGCAGAAAACCCACCATTGAAAACCAAAGAAACATCCACAAAAATGAAAAAAAATTACAAGTAAATCACATGAGCAGTGTAAGAGAAAATGAAAAGGGTACCTGGTTTCTGGTCTTCTCTTCGCTCCCCAAACCCGTGATTTTTATTTTTTATATAAAAAAAAGAAAAATTGAAATCTGAGCCCCAGTTTGAATTTGAAACAGACAAAAAGCAGCGGAGAAGAACAGTTTCAAAAAACGTGGGGGAATTAAAATAAATATAGTGAGCGTTCAATAATAGTAACGAAGAACACAATAAATGCACGAAATAAATAAGCAGGTCATAATTAAAAAGAGGAGAGAGAGAGAGAGGAAAAATCGAAGAAGACGACGAAGAGAGAGAAAGCTGGTGGAAATGTCTTTGGACAGACACTGCAAGTATGATGTCGGTTCGAGAGTTTACGTGTGTTTAAGATTTCTTTTTTTATTTTTATTTATTTATTTAATTTAAAAAAAAAATTAAAAAATAAAATAAAAGAATAAGTCCAATTAAGTCCAAAACCAACCACACATATTCTAATTCAAATAGATACAATTTGGTCAGCACACACACTCAACCATGTCCACATAATCTTTATTACCTTTATATTATTTTTATATCTCAATACTTTTTAAAACTTAAAAAGTATTTCAGTTCCATATATGAAACTCTAATTCTTTATTGATTAACTAATTATTTAGCTAGTAAAATGTATGATTTATTGTATTAGTCTAATATTGAAATCAATATTGTCAGAACCGGACCGCATAATGAAATCAGACGATCATTTCAGTCATGGTTCTGCAGGGTCGAATTGATTCAACTTTTTTAATATTTTATTTTTTTAATGTTTAAAAAATACTATTTTTTTTTATAGCCATAAACTCGTACCTTGTAAATCAGACATATTGATACCTAGTATATTTCAAAAAAAAGATACCTAGTATATTTCAAATCAACACATATCTTATATTCTCTTATATATGTGAAACATAATCTATAAACTTAGTATGAATACAGTAGAGTGATGGTGGTTTCAAGGTTTCCTGCCAAATTAAAATGGCATTAATAAAGTATAGAAATTAAGAACATTAAATCATTAAACATGTTGACAGATTTTCCACAACAAAAACGTGTTTTTTGGGTTTGAATAAAGTTCAACACGGCCAGACTTTTGTCAGTTGCAACAAATATTGAGCATTTTCTTGCTAACTTCTTAAAGTTTATAACAATAATTTGGAAAATCATTTTTTCTTCAAATCAACTCTAATTTTTTTTTCCTTCTTTTGCTTCAACTGAAAGTTAACAATAGTACACTAGTAGAAAATTTGCTTATTACTATGAAATTTTTTGCCACGGTAAAAAATTGAAATAAAAGGTATTTTTTACTACGAAATAATTTTGAAGTCGTAGTAAATGCTAGAATTTACCGTAGTAAAAAAATATTTGGTACGGCCATTTACCGTAGCAAAACTTTTGTCACGCCTGTATATACTACGGGGCAAATTCGTAGCAAAAACCTTTTTAGTACGAAATTGATACATTTAGCTACGGTTAATGATCGTAATAAAAAGCTATTTTTCTACTAGTGATATCTATATTAGCGGAACCAGAATTTTAAGTGCGAAGTCGAATGGATAAAAAAAAAATTGAAGAGGGGCTACTAATACTATTGTACACAATTTTTTTATATTTTTATATAAAATAATGAAAATTTGAGAAATATTCGGGAGGCCATGACCCCTCTGACCGTATAATGGCTCCACAATTGTGTATCTGTAAGGATATAAAGTGGTTCATAAGCATTGGTTCATCTGTCAAATATCAATTTCCCTTCACCACACCTTTTTTTCGTTCAACAAAGAAATAATATAGACGAGTGAAAAAAACTGAAAAGGAAATCTTTTCTGAGTTTTTCTACAGTGAAGCAAGTGCATCCCACCACATCAATTAACGACCGTTGGATTAAAATGTTACCAAGTTTTTTCTCCAATACAGAAATGTAATGGAGGACCACTACTTTCATGAAGAAAGCCTTATCAACCTAATAATTAAAATAATATATATATATAAAAAAAAACCCCATCTATTTTTGTAAATTGCTAACAAAATCCTCAAGTGGGTCCCACGATGAGAGGTTTGATTCCAATGACAAAAAAGAAAATAAACAAATTCTTTTTTCCACCTTTCTAACTTAAATGTTTATGGTTTGTGCTAAGCTTATGACAAGGACCACACATGAATCATGACAAATAAAATTAAACAATTATTAAACAAAATGTCATACAAAGGGCTTTTGAGAGATCCAGGGTTTGAATTCTTTTAGTTACCTGGTTTGTAATAACTATAATATATAAGACTAGTTACCAAAAAAATAAAATAATAAAATAAAATGATAGATGCTACATCTAGTTTCCCAGGATACTGAAGAAGTTCTTGAGTCACAGTCTTATATACAATCTACTTAATTACTGAAGCAAGTAGGAAGAAAGAAAGATACTATCGTCCTATTTTTACTGCCAGGATAGACATGTTACCGATAATATTACTGATTCGTCGTAAAACATTTACCTTCTTACTGCTAAAACTCACCGATTCCGTATATGTCGTAGTAGTAACTGTTGAAAAAGATTTAATCTGACTACTCGGAAGTTGTGTTTGTGGAATTCAGTTTTTGAATAAAGCATTCCACATCTTCGGGAGTGAACCAATCTTCTTTCATCTAAAATGTATTATATCATTCGAAGCATAAAAAACTTAGCCATGCACGACAACGTAATACTAAGTGTCAGTTGTACAGGAATAGTAAAAATAGAGCAAAGAGAACTTACAAAGTGAGGATTTCCCTTGGAGAAGGTAAAACTATCAGGATTGCTCTCTAAGAATTTATTTATGTAGTGTAGAACGTAAAACCCGCATTCCTCGCCACTTTTCTGTTGTGGCACCTGGAATCGTGGAGGTTTATCCAGGTAAGTCGACAAATAAATTTGATGGAAATTACGGTATGTTATTATTTTTGTTGTTACCTTGGGGATTAGAAGAGGAATTTTATTGATTAGCCCTTTCTTTTCTGGCCTTTCTTCGGTATTAAATATGTCAACGACAAATCTGTGGGGAGAAAACCAAGATAGCAAAGGTTAGAAATTATAAGTTACTATATGAAATACTCCGTAGTAAAGAATTAATTCAACTTAAAACAAGAACAAAATAAGTGGTTACTACTGAAAACACCTTCTAATTCCAGGTTCTAGCTGCGTAGAGTTGGCTTTTCGCAGCGAATCTAACAGCAACATGCAACGACTTTCGGTTTTCGATTGTTGACTTTCACCAAAGTGACAAAAGATTAAAAGAAACCAGTGATTCCTAGCAAAGTGGAAGCTGAATCAGTAACTAAATCCCAATATGAAAATGGATCAAATTAGTAGAAATATATGTTGACGAGATTAAAATAATGATCATGGTGTTTATATTCACAACAATAGCACCACACACCACTGAACAATTGGAACGAAAACATATTTCTTCGAGAATATGTCCTTCTTCTTGATCCAACTCAACACCTTTGCTTTAAGAGGTTCTTTTGAGTACAAAGAAAACCACAGTGAGTCAAGACAAGTAAACGCATTCCTTTTCTCTTCCGGAAATCTTCTCCACACAGTCCTGCATTAATTCACAATAAAAGGTCAAGATAATAGAATATCAAGATATAGAGATGGTTCATAACCCATAGATATCAAAATAAATGTATATTTATCTTTACTCTATATAGGATTCGAACTTTTCCGAGCCCAACTTCCCCAATTTCTGAATACCCGTGGTGCTACGACGCAGCCTCCTCGATTGTCTATCACAACAGAGAGGATGTTCGCTAATAACTTCACGATCACTTGGCTTTGCTTTTCTTTTGCTTCTCGTATTCCTAGGTTTGCGTGGATATGTAGTAAAGAAGCACTGACTTGTGTTCTCCTCCACAGTGCTTGCTTGACGGATTTCTGTAAATATACAAACATTACAATCTCCGATTTACTCACTACCTCATGTCAACGATGTTAATAAATACGGGAATATCATTGAAGTAAGATGGAAGCTAATGAAGTAAGATTGAGTCACATACCACCATTTTGCACTGTTGCCATATTTACATCCCTCGAAATCCCTTTTGACCTTCGGACTTGAGGAAACTGCGATAATAACGAAGCTCGATTAGAACAACCTTTTGCTGCAGCTAACCGGATCGTCTTCCAAATTGGATGTGCATGATAACAATCCCTGATTAATTCAAAACCCCCAAACCCTAGGGCAAAGAATAAATCTATTATTATCCAGAGCACAATAAAATCACAATCTACAAAGACAAGTACTACAATATACAATACACTCGAGATATTGTAGTGCATATATGTACATATACATACACAATTTCGGGTCATAAACACAGCATAAAACTTGAATTCACAAGGAAAAAAAATGTATGAAAACGATGATTTATTCAATTAATCTATAAATATATATATATAGTCGATACGGCAAAACTTATTTACGATCAGCAAAAACCCTAACCAAACCCCAGAATTTAATTAGCTTCGATTACGAAGTAAAATTGATGTTTTAAATCATCAACAGAAGCAACAAAAAGTAGGACAAAAAAAAATTGATGCTCACCGGAAATATCAGAAACGACGTCGTCGGCCTCTTCCGCCGCGAGTTCACGGTGCTTTCGCTTCGCCATTGCCTTCGACTGGAAGTTCAGAAGCTGTGACAAAGCGGGAGTAGAACCCAGCTGTCGACATATATTCAAATAGGAAGAGGAAACGCGTCGCAATTCTGAATGCGAGTATAGTACGAACTGTAGAGAACCGGACGGGAAAAGAGTCCTAGCATGTGTAACGTCAAATTACGGGATAATTACACTTTTGGTCCTTCATGTTGGGTCCGATTTCACTTTTGGTCCCCCTTGTTCCAAAGTGAACAAAGTTCACCTTCAAATTTCAATTTTAAACACTTTTGGTCCCCGCCGTTACATGTCCGTTAGCAAGTAACGGAAAACACTATTTTGGGGTGAAAATTGAAATTTTAAATTTTTTAGGGGCTGAAAAATAATTATAAATTTACAATACACTACTTATAATTTTTAATAATAAAAAAAGAAATTAACGAAACAAATTATTTTTATGATACCTAATATTATTATAATTATAATACTTATAATTAAATTTTTAATAATAAAAAAAATTAACTAAACAAATTATTTTTCATCGTACTTAATATTATTTTTAATTATACTAGTTATGATAAAAACAAATTAATACCAAAAAAATAAATTAACTAAACAACATTTTTTTTAATTATACTCAATATTATTAAAATTATACTACTTATATTATTTTTTTAATAATAAAAAAATAAATTAACTAAACAAGTTATTTTTAATTATACTTAATATTATTTTTAATTATACTACTTATAATAAAAAACATAATAATACTTCATATTATTTATAATTATACTACTTATAATTAGTTTTTTTAATAATTATACTAAACAATAACAAAATATTATTTAAAAATTATAATAAAAAATAAACTAGCTAACAAATTATTTATAATTATACTTCATATTATTATAATTATACTACTTATAATTAGTTTTTTAATAATAAAAAAAGAAACGAATTAAATATATTAATATGAATTATACTTAATATTAGTTTTAATTATACTACTTATGATTATTTTTTTAATAATAAAAAAATAAATTAACTAAATAAATTTCATTATACTTAATATTATTAAAGATTTAATTATAAGTAGTCTATTTTAAATTTCTAATTATTTTACAGCCCCAAAAAAATTTAAAATTCTAATTTTCGCCCCAAAATAGTGTTTTCCGTTACTTGCTAACGGGCATGTAACGGCAGGGACCAAAAGTGTTTAAAATTGAAACTTGGAGGTGAACTTTGTTCACTTTGGAACAAGGGGGACCAAAAGTGAAATTGGGCCAAACATGAGGGACCAAAAGTGTAATTATCCCTCAAATTACCTTTCTTTTTAATTTATTATTATTATTTTTTATTTTTTTTTCCTTTTTTTTCATGAATCGTAATCCTCTACTTTATGATAGTATTCTTAATTAATGTGGATTAAAAGTATTTATTGAATTTAAGGAGATATTATTCTTTAATTAATGTGGATTATTTCATGTGACCATTTGAAAGAAAGAAAATCACATATAATAAAGAAAATTGTGTATTAACTATGAACACATCAGGTAAAATCATTAACCAATTTAACATTTCTCGAAAAATAACCTTTTATCTTATTCTCTAGTGTGAATTACGGCCACTCCATGAGGTAAGGTCAAATTACGAAAAAAACCATTATGTATGGGTAATTACAATCACCCTCAATTATAAATCTTCTTACATGTGTTCATCCTTATGGTGTTAAATTCAACATAATCTTCTAGATTTCGTGGAATGTTGTCAATATTGTACTCGTTTTGTGCAACAGTCTCTAATGCACCACAATTATATTTACAAACCAAGAAACACATGTTATGATCATCTTGTTTCAAAATGTTGAGCTCGAATAGTGTAAAACGTGTACAAACTGGAAAATATTCCACATAATCTAAAAGATTCCACTAAATTTGATACCGTAAGAGTTGACGTGTAAGAAGATGCATAACTGAAGGGTAATTATAATTATCCAAATATAAGGGTTTTTTTGTAATTTAACCTTATTTCAGGAGATGGCCGTAATTTACCGGCCTATTTTTTAATTCCCATAGTTGGGCATTTTAATTAATTAAAAAATGTGATTAATTATAAGCCCTGAAAAGGCAAAAAAAGATATGTGCCATTAGTTTTATTTCCTATAAATTAAACACCCTAAAAAATCTCTCAACCCTTGAAAATTTCTTCAAACTCCACCAAAAAACAAGGATCCCTTTGCATTTTTCTCTATTCTCCTTTCTTCTTTCCCTTTAATCATCACTTTCTCCAATTTTTCACCAGCTTTTTTTTTTCAAGGCCAATTTTTTTAATTGGAGTTAGAAATCATGGTAATATAATGTGTTATTACATGCACTCATGCATGGTTAAGTTTGCATCTTTGCATGATGATTTTCTTGATTTTTCGAGTTTTGCCGATTGTGTGTACGTGATTTTGTTTTTTCGACAGGCTAATTCGGCATCCGGGATCGCTGTGAGTGACGAGTGCAAGCTGAAATTCTTGGAGCTGAAAGCGAAAAGAAACCACAGATACATCGTCTTCAAGATCGACGACACCGTGCAGCAGGTGATGGTCGAGAAAGTCGGGACACAAGCCGAAACCTACGAGGATTTCGCAAACAGCTTGCCCGATAACGACTGTAGGTACGCTGTGTTCGATTACGACTTCACCACTGATGAAAACTGCCGCAAGAGCAAGATCTTTTTCATTGCATGGTAAGTATATATATATATATGTACTAATAGAAAACACGATCATTTTAATTATGCTTTGTCGTCGTAAATCGATCGTAATAAAAGATCTATATTTTTATTTATTAATTATTATTATTATGTTGGATATTGTGTTGATTAATGCAGGTCACCAGATATTGCAAAGGTGAGAACAAAGATGCTGTATGCGAGTTCGAAGGATAGGTTCAAGAGAGAGTTGGACGGGATTCAAGTCGAGTTGCAAGCAACCGATCCGAGTGAGATGAGCTGGGACACACTCAAAGCAAGAGCTTATTGATCACTTCATATTCCATATTTGAATTTTTTGTTGGGGATTTTATGATTGTTGGTTTTTAGTACTTTTTGCATCCTCTTTCTAATGATCAATTATTGAAAGAGGGGTCTGTTTCTGTTGTTTTTTTTTTTTTTTTTTTTTTTTTTTTTTTGCGGTGTTGTCGGAGTGTTGAGAATTCGTACGTAGCTTGTGTTAAGAGCGATAAACGACTATGTTTCGTTCCTGTTAATTTATATATTTTTGGTGTGTTTTGACAGAATGTGTAATGAATTAAACTAGCTGCATTTTGTTTCTGTGGCAATATCTGTTTTTTATCTGGTAATAAAATTATATAGAGTAAATTACGGCCACCCTCTGAGATAAGATCAAATTACGAAAAAAAACCTCTCATGTTTGGGTAATTACAGTTATCCCTCAATCTTCTTACACGTCTAACCTGTTGGTGTCGAATTCAACAGAATCTTCTACATTATATGGAATATTCTCCAGTTTGTACACGTTTTACCCAATCCGAGCTCCACGTTTTGAAACAAGATGATCATAAGATGTGTCTCTTCGCTTGTAAATATTAGATTGTGGTGCATGAGAAACTATATTTTTGCACAAAACGAATACAAACTAGAGAACATTCCACGAAATATAAAAGATTGTGTTGAAAAAAAAAAGTAGAGTTTAAAGTGCTGTCAACATTGTATTACTACACAAATGGACTTAAAAACATTATTACAACATGACTAGTAATTAAAAAAAAATGAAAAATGGACTAAAAATCCCGTTGAAAAACTCGGTTTTCTAGGCTCTCTTTTCGCTCGAACAAAGCACGAAGAGCTGCAATATCGTACGCAGGAGGCAAATCGCACGGAAGTGAATCGGACGGATTTTTCACCATAGAATGTTTCCTAAATCTCCTTTTTTGCCCTTTGACAGAGCAAATCAGATTCTCCGAGCACGTCTCGATCGCCCCTTGTGGGACCCTCGGTTTATATTTCAGCAGCTTCGCATATTCATTCAATAAGTGAAATGTATAGTCATATATATATTCCATTGCAAGATTTTCTTGCACAAATTCGCTCCCATCTTTCCCAATCTCCTCCGCCTAAGTTCCGAAAAAAAAAAATACAATAAAATCGCAATATATACTTTTCGGAGAAATTTAAAAAAAGTTCTATATTCGTTTATTAATGTACCTTATCTGCGTATTTGTTGCCCCATTCGACAGCATATTCGATGGATTTACACATGTTTTTTTCGTCGATCGGCCAGTAGTGAATTGAAGGCAGTAAACTTCTCGTGAAGAAATCGTAGTAACGAGGTTTTATTACCAAGGCCATCGAATCGCAAGCTAGTATATACTTTTGACTAACGGACCACGATACTCCTTCCACGTAAATCTTGTACCTGCCTTGATAAAAAAATCCCAAAACATAATGAGAAAATGAGTTATAAATTAAATATAATTAATAAATAAAAATTGCAATATGATGATTATGTGAAAATTAGTGCATGTATATACCTGTAATTACACTGACTTGCTAAATCAGTGTTTCTGAAGTTCTGTTTTTTCTCTTCTTTCCACTCCTACAAAAATGTATATATATATATATATATATATATATATATATATATATATATATATATATATATATATATATATATATATATATATAACTTTTATATAATCATGATTGAAATATATAAAAGGAAAATTGTAAATTTTGATACATTACCATGGAAAAGATTCGAGCTTTCGTATCTTTTCGATCGGATATATTACATTTTAGCAGCTCTCGTCGTGCAGCGCCGAGCTTAGCGTTTCCTTTCCAATAAGCATAAGGCTCTTTATCCTTCCACTTGATCCTTCTAGAACCTTCTTTTATATCCTCTTTCAATTCCTCCCACGGCTTTATATTTACCTCCGGCCTAGAAAAGAAACTCGATAAATCAATCACTTTCACATTCAAAAAAACACAAACAAATTAAATCATCTCTTAATTAAAGAAAAAAAAATTATGAGAAAGAGAGAATATTTTACCAACCCCAAAAGGACCAATCAGGAAAGACGATATCGTAACTCGATTCATCCCCACAGTAATGAAACAATGGAGGAACCGAAGAATCAGGCCCCACATAGTTGCGTTTCTTGATAACGGGCTTGTCAGCGCATTCGAGCATGAGATCTAAATCCGGTAAACGGCCAGGGTACAACCTTAGAAGCTGCAGTAGGCCCCACACCGTGACAACGTCTCTTGTCTGATAAACGTCCTTGTACTTTTGCGTGTACAATCTGCCATTCACTATGATGATTCTAATATGCGCCACGTTTTTGGCATTTTCGACCATTTCCTTTGTGATTCCCGTATCTCTCCATGCACGTAAATCTTCGTGAATCCATCTGAAATACTCTGGACACGTTTGTTTTGATGGATTGATTACTGCGTTTGTCGTGATCGGCTGTGAAGTTTGTGAACAGTTGATGGAGCAATCGAATTCTTCCGAGTATGTTTGGGATGAAAACGTCCTTTGTAACGATCCTGTAATTATTGACTGCAAAAAAGAAAAAAAAAGAAAAATTAAGAAAATGGGATTATTAGAGGCAAAAATAATACGAAAAATGGAAAAATATTTACGATGTCGAGCCATTGAGTGAAAAAGGCAATGGTGATTAGGGTTGCAAGAAAGAAGACAAAGGTTGATTGAGATTTGGCCTTTGTCCGATGCCGTTCCATCGTTCTTGTTGACAGTTGAGGTAGAACTGTAATAGATCAGGAGTTTTTTTTTTCTTCTTTGATGTATTAATTAGAAGATCACAATAATAGATTTAATTCATTATTTTGATGTTTTTATTTATTTTTAGAGTGACATTATTTATTTATTTATTTTTTATCTTTTTTTATTTGTTCATATATCTATATATAACTATATAATCACAGTTTTATTTACTAGTTATATTTTTCTAATTAATAGTTGTAACTTGCAGAGCAGATATAGTTATAATTTGATATATTTATTTTACTTTATTTTTCTGAACTCCTGATAGCATACAATGCATATCCAGTGAAAACTGGACTGGAGCTATATAGCATATGTAGTTACAATCCAAGGAGTGGGGATAAGTCGAGTCGAGCAGCAACGAATGATTAATAATTTTCGTCACAAGACGAGTATTTTTCGGCGTAAAATAAACTTGTATCAAATAAATATTTGAAATTATGTAACCAATTTAAAATTTTGCTTATAGAACACATAATTTAGCTCACTCATACTAATTAATGTTTATGAAATAAAAGGTTATGTATTGTAATCAAAGGACTAAAGTTGTACCACAAAGAATGAACTATATTTATCTTGTCTTCTTGCCCTTCAGACATCTCCTCAAAGCTCTCTGCTCTCTCTAAACCTTCAAAACAATTCGAGTTTCCATACGGGGTTCTACATAAAGTATCGAAAAATAAATTAAACTTTCGTCTTTAATTATCTTATCTCCACGTCAGCTAAAAAATTAGTTCTTGTTATTTTCTTTGTCCCAATATTCATTCTCCCATGATTCCACTTCTCTAGTTGCTTTCCCGCTTCCATCAACAAAAGCCATAAGTTCATGAGGCTGATAAGGCGGAGGCATTTTGCATGGCGGTGAATCGCTAGGAGTTTTCTCCAGTGATTCTTCCATGAATTTCCTCCAAATCCCATCTGCAGGGCAAGCCATTGATTCCGAACAAAGCTCGATTGCGTTTATAGGAACTGTGGGCTTATACTTTAAGAGCTTTGCGTATTCGTTTAGCACATGAAATATATAATCGTAAACGTACTCCATCTTCATATCCTCGTGGATGAACCGGCTTCCAGCTTCTCCAATTGCCTTTGCCTACCAAAACCATACAGTTCCGACAGTTTATTACTCATTTTCAATCAGTAAGAATTCAAGAATGTCGTCTTAACAAATGAAAGAAAGTTTCACCTTTTCTGTATGATTGTTTCCCCATTCAACTGCATATTTTAGAGACCTGCATTTGTCACTGTCCCTAACTGGCCAATAATGTTGCTGAGGGATCATTCCTCTTATGAAGAAATCGTACCAACGCTGAGTCATCAGCAAAGTCGGAGAGTTGCAGGCTAAGATATACTTTTCGCTCACTGACCACGCCCATCCTTCTATGTAAATTTTGTACCTAAAAAAATGAATAAAACCCAAAAAAGAAATGGCACAAAGAATTACTTATGGAGGGTTTTATACAATTATATTTGATTTATTCCGCGTCATATGAGTGGTTCCTAATTATTTCCATGTTGAATGTCTAACCTGTGGGTGCATTGATCTCCAAGATTTGATTGCTTGTATCCTTTTTGGGACTCTGCAATCCAATCCTGATATGCAAAAGACGATATAAATATAATTTCAAGTGTTTGCTCATATGAATTCATAAGAGTACACTGAAAGCAATAAACATAAGAACAAAATACAATAGAATCGTCATGTTACGATCTCTTACTAGTGATCTTAACTCAAATAAAAAATAATACTTTCGGGACCGTCAAATGCACATAAGTTCCAAGTCCCACAAAATTATTTGACATGAAAATAGAATTTATTTATTTTTCTTCGTAAAATTAATGTGTTTACGGGACTTACTTGAACATAAAGGCGAGTATTCCAGTCATTTTGATCGGTGGCATTGCACTTCATAAGATCAGCTCTCCAAGGGCAAACATGTGGATTTCCCTTCCAGTAAGCATACGGAACTCTATCCTCCCATTTTGTTCTCTTGTTTCCTTCTTTTATATCCTTCAGCACATATCTCCATGGCCTTATATTCGTCTCTGCCCTGCACCAAATAAAATCAACAGTCAACAAAAAGACTAAAGATATGTGTGTTTTGTGATTCAAATATATATATATATATATATATATATATATATATATATATATATATATATGCATACACACAACACAGATATACGTATCCATGTAAACATTACCGCAAATACACACCCAAACACATACATACAAAATGAGTATCAGATATACATGCATAATTGGATTTTAATTGGTGAATTTCACCGAAGCAGAGAATAAATGAACTGGCTAGAATATAACCGTAGATTCACACACAATCGCACACATACAAAATGTGTATCAGATGCATATTCACAATTGGATTTCACTTGGTGAATTTCACCTAAGCAAAGAATAAATGAACTATGGTGGCTAGAACAATACAGTAGATTCACACACACACACACACACACACACACACACACACACACACACACACACACGCACGCACACACACACACACACACACACACACACACACACACACACACACACACACACACACACACACACACACACACACACACAATTTGTATTAGATGCATATGCACAATTGGATTTTACTCAGTGAATTTCACGGAAGCATAGAATAAAACATATACATTTGAAACAAAAAAACGATATATATATATATAAGAACAAGTAATTACCAGCCCCAAAACGACCAATCGGGGAAGACGATATCCAAGCTATTCCAATCCGAACAGTACCGGAACAGCGGCGGCGGCTCAGATCCCGGCAGCCGGAAGTCATTCGCCGGTACAACAGGCCTATCGTCGGCGTCAAACATCAGCTCCAAATCAGGCAATTTCCCAGGGTACCACCTCATCAGCTGCGCGATCCCCCACATCGTGAACAAAGCGCGCGTCTGAATCGACTCCTTGAACTTCTCCACGTACATCTTCCCGTCTACAATCGTCAGCCTGAAATGCGCAGTCGCGCGCGCTTTCTCCACCATTTCTCTCGTTACTCCGGTTTTCTTCCAGTGCCTCAGGTCCTCGTGAATCCATCGGAAATACTCCGGGCAGGTTGATTCCGGCGAAGTGTTTGCAGAAGAAGGTTTGGTTGAATTGGGGTAGTTTTTGGGGCAGGTGTTTGTGAGATTCCATGCGTTGCAGTCAAGGGGGTACTCAGGGGTAATTTCGGGTTTTTTGGTGAAAACTTTGAGGGCCTTTTGGGAAGAAGAAGAGTGCCCTACATATTTAGCCTGGAAAAAGAGAAAAAGATTAAAAAATAAATAAATTAGGTAATTACTCGTTGATAAGACTAATTTCTTCTTAATTTTGGCTCCAAGCACAAGATTCTTATAAGGAATAGTTTAAATAGTTTTTTTTTTCTAAGCATTGTGTTTGACAATCGGATCAAGATTTATTATAATTGGTAAAATGTATATATAGGTGCTAATTTTTTTTTTATATAATCCATTTTTTTTATAACAAATTAATACTTGATTTTCCTAGAATTCACTCATCAGATTATTTAATACTAGTTGATTTTTTGTCGCAAACGAGTAAGTAATTTATGCTAAATCGACAAATTAAAGTAGCATGTTTGTACAAGTACATTACACTAAGAATCTATTTGGTTATGGGTTCGAGTGACTCGGAATTGGGAAACTAATAACTATCATCTTTGATCGAGAAAAAATGAATAGGGGAGATTAATCTACAGTATTCTACATCCTAGTTAAATTATTGAAAATGGAAAAGTCGTGCAGTTAATTATTTTCTAAATATTTTAATTATTTCAACATATGATAACGTATTGTGAGATTTTAGTCAACATCTATATAATGACTTGTTCCAAACAAGGCAAAAATAATATTTCAATAATTAGGTGGATTATTAACTATATTTGCCTATAATTTGATATTCTTTTGCGTAATCAAGACTAGGATTTTGAGCATATACAAGAAAGAATTATTTGAATCATCTCTTTCCAATAAAAAAAAAAATAAATCTTTAAAAAATTATTAAGGCACAAATTAAATGAGAAAAATCAGAGTACATTCACCAAATTTTTGTAATTTAAAAGAAAAACAAAAAATCCTCCATTAATTAATGCAAGTCAATGGTAATGCATCGTAATCCCAAAAAATAAAAATAAATTAAATATGTGCATTAATTAATTATATGAATTTGGCTTCTTTATACGAAAATAGTGAAGAAGATCTTCAAAGTCTTCTCATGAGTTATTATTACACACACAAACGCACAAAAAAGCACACAAAATGAAACAACATTCGAAAACGGAAAAAGAAGATCGAAGAAGAAGAAGACTTACGGGAGGAATCCAGCCGGCGAAGAAGAGTAGGGAAATTAAGAGGAAAGAAAAGAAGAAAAGAAGAAGAAAAATATATGTTAAAAGAGAAGCTCTCTTGTTCAATGATCTGAACCACTTTGATATGAGAGAGTTGTGCTTTTTCACCCAATATATGTTCATCAACTTCTCTTCGTGCCCTTTCATCGTTTTTTCTTCTTCACCTTCTTCTACTCACCAACTTTTTATGATCTTCGATAATGTCATTTATCTCTCATGACTCTCTCTCTCTCTCTCCCTCTCTCTCTCTGTGTATGATGTGTGTTTTTGTGTGTTTGTGTGTGTGTTTTAGTGTGTGTGAGAGAGAGAGGTGAAGTTTTAGGGGGGGGGGGGGAGAGAGAGGTTTTGTCTGGAGAAGAATTGTGAAATGACAAAGAATAGGAACATATAAGTACGAAACACTCTTGGCTGTCAATTTTAAATAAGGGAGGATTATGTGCCAAATGTTCATGGTGGAAAATTCAATACTATATTATTATGTAGGGGAATTTACATCTACTCCTCCTCTGTATTATACGTAATTACAGTTAAACCCTCCTCAATTTTCAAATATTAAATAAACCTCCCCCTTTTAAAATTAGTATTAAGGATTAATTGAACAAATATTAAAAAGAGAATTGTATAATTATTCAAATTTAAAAGAGTCTAACTGCAATACTTAACCTGAGGGGTTAAAGGCGTAATTGCACCTCTTAGAAAACGTGTCTTCTCTCTAAAGGGCTATTCACGTTGTTCCCTGATTCATAACGCACGACTTTACAGTTGACTCTACTAAAGAATTTTCTATTTTATTATTGCGATTTCTTTACTACGTTTTTCTTAATGAGTTGGTAGTTCCCTTTGACCTCTCTTATAAGGTAGTTTTTTTCTATTATGTAGTTCTTCAAATTTCAAAAATTTTAGTCATGCTATGATGAATATATATATACATATTTGAACATATGATTTTCGAACAATAATTTTCTTTCTAAATCCAATTTTAATTTATGAAAAAAATACATTTATTTCGAAAACTACACTGATATATAAATATTATTATGTATTTTAGTATAGATGAATAACAAATATGGAAGTTCAAATTATCTTCCCATTCGAGTTTCCAATTTTGGAAGAAAAAAATAATTCATTCTAAATCCGATTTTTTGCCTTTTCCTTTTTGAAGGAATTGGAATTAGTTTTCACTTTAACAAAAATATAAATTTTAAAAATGAGTACATAAAGGAGGCAGTCAAGTAAAAGTGAAGCAAATGAAAAGTGTGATACGGCAGAGAGTTAACATGTGAATTAACCTCAATTCCTGGGGTTGACTGTGTGTTATTGCTTCATTTCAAAATCATATGCGAAGTGCTGCTGTATAAAATAAGCCATTGGTGCATAACCTGGAAAAGCGACACCGCACATGAAAAACATATTTTTTTTTCATACGCGTTGCCTTTTATCTTTTCCATTCTTCGTGCACTCTGTTCACATCAACAAAACTAAAACGTGAGAGAGGTTTCGATATAATTTTAAATGCATACGTATGAATATATGTTTGTATATAATATTAAATCAAAGGAAGAATAGAAGGGCTCGTCACATTTTACATGGTGTATAATATCTTCCATTCTTCGTGCGCTCAGCTTTAACATCACTAGCCTGAAAAGGACTCGAAATTTTGGGGTTTCAAAAGCCAGTTTATGAAATGGGGGCTTGCTTTAAAGGCCTTTGAAGCTGCATTGTATTCTTCAGCCTTTTCCTGCAACAGAGAAATCGTAGACTTTTAAGTCAACTATATAGCATGGTAAGTTGAGAATCGTACCGAACAAAATTGTTTGAGGGTGAATTTGGATGGGAGTGATTTGAAATCCATAATAACAAATCTGATAAGCTTATTCGGATAAAGTCATTTAACAAGAAATTTGAAATCGATAGCGATCTCGTTTCAGTTGTTTCATACAGTATGATGAAACAATTTCAAATGATGCGAGTATCATGCAAAGATATCATCATTCATTCAATACCTTCACAAATCTACAGTTACTCATACATCCAGAACTTATGCACAGAGCTGACAACATACGTGCTTATGTGTATTTACCTTGAGTTCTCGATAAGTGATCTCGGAGACGGAGCAGTCTGATGAATAATCTTGCTTGACTACTACAAATAACTCTAACAAGCGCTTCCTAAGCACAAAATAATTACTGGAGTTAAGTTAGCTCTGCTCAAAACCCGAGAACAATATTAAAGCTATGGATTATGGGAGTTGTTGCCTTCACAAAAACCCGAGAACAATATTGGAGAGGGAGAAAAAGAATTCAAGAAGCCTTTTACAACACGTCAATTGTCCAAAAATTGCAAAGAACATGGAGCGAGGAAGACCAAATCAAACATTTTGTGCAAATAGGTCATTGTTTTTAACATTAAACAAACATTGCACTAACTTTTTGTTGGTAAATTCAAGATTCTAACACTCTTACTTGCATAAAGATGACTCTGTAGATGGAGACATTGCACCTTTTGCAGATGTTCCCTGCTTTCTACCCGTTGTTCCAAGAATGACTTCATGCAAACCAGCATTATTCCAGCATATCGAATACCTGCAAGTCAAGGAGATTTGGAGAACATAAATAAGTGGCCAAAAACGGAAAAAAAAAAAAAACGAGTGGTTTCTGAAATCACATATCAATATATCATTTGAACAGGCGCACCCGCAAGTTAAGGTTTCAAGAGCAGTCTCGGAATGTTGAAATTCCTTAGGTGGCACTGGAGCTACCCAAAGGAGCGGCTGTCAAAGATGAATCTAACATTTAGTACAATGCCACAGAGCCGAAAAGGAGAGGATAAGTCACATTTATGACCTTATTCACTTGAAAGGGTTCCATCAGTTTGTCAGACACCGATGTGATCCGCACGTGTAAGGATCTTCTTAGATGATCGGCCACCGAATTTCCAGAATCGAATTGCGACACACCCACTGTTATAGAGGAAATATAAACTGGTTCCAGAAAGCAAGAAAGTAGAGCTCCTGTACAAAAAGAAAGATTTCAATCAAAATACTTACAGTAACAAATGGTTCTACTAAGCGCATCTTGCGTATATAGTTAACAACTACAGCAACTTTTGTGACAAACGGAACTAGTACAAATTGGAATAAAACTCATGAATATACAATAATTAGCGAGCTTCAGACTTCATTGTTCCACAGAAACGTTATGTAGGTTTTTATTCATTGATTTGCTGCTCTTAGTAACCAGATGACGCAGAACGGAAGCACGGAAAGAATTAATTTCTACGAATTAATCCTATAGAACACGATAACTCTGGAATCCACCAGATAATTGAGAGAAAACTCAGAAATTTTTATTAATAATGAAGATGCTGAAAAATAAATCCTAGAGCAACTATTTATACTAAAAAAAACGAAAAACCTAATCAAACTAGGAAAACGAGAAAATTACCAAAAAAAAAAAAGGAAAAACCTAATCAAACTAGGAAAACGAGAAAATTACCAAAAAAATAAAAATAAAATAACTCCTAAACCTAATAGAATACCGAAAGTTGGAAACAACCCAACTTGCGGAATTCAAATCCTAATCAAACTAGAATTCCGACTCCGCCACCTCTGCATCAATCCCTTCTTCTTCGAAAGAGCTCGACCTCGAGCTTGTATCGGGATAAAGTGGGGTATTCTCCTGATACTCGTATAAGTCCGAAACGTTGAAAGTTTTCGAAATACCCATGTGAGCCGGGAGGTCGATTACGTAAGCATTATCATTAATTTTCTGAAGGACTTTGAACGGTCCATACTTCTTTGGCTTGAGCTTGTTATACGTTCCCACCGGGAATCGCTCCTTTCGAAGAAATACCATGACATCGTCCCCCGCATGAAAAGTCTTCAGCCTGCGATGCTCGTCCGCGGTAGCTTTATACTTGGCATTCTTTTGCTCGAGCCTCTCCTTAACCTCTGCTTGGACGTCTCGTACTTCATTAGCCAGTCGCTCAGCCGCCACACTTTTTCGGTGCTCTTGAGGGAGGCGTATCAAATCCACTGCATGCTTCGGAGCTGCTCTATAAACCAACGCAAAAGGAGACATTCCAGTGGCGCTGTGCACAGCGCTATTGTAGGCAAACTCCGCTTGTGGTAAAGCATGATCCCATTGCCTCGGGCGATCGCCGCAAATACATCGTATCAAATTTCCCAAAGTCCGATTAGTCACCTCCGTTTGCCCATCAGTTTGCGGATGTGCTGTGGTGCTTCGCTTGAGGGAGGTGTCAAACATCTTCCAAAGGACAAGCCAAAAATGGCTAAGGAACTTCACGTCTCGATCGGATGTGATTGTCTTCGGTACGCCGTGTAAACGGACTACTTCTCGAAAGAACAGTCTCGCAATGTGAGACGCATCAGAAGTCTTTCGGCACGGAATGAAGTGAGTCATCTTGGAAAACCTATCAACCACCACGAAAACCGAATCAACCCCCCGCTGGGTTCGCGGCAAGCCCAACACAAAATCCATCGATAGATCTTCCCAAATACCACTTGGGACCGGGAGAGGTGTATACAACCCCGTATTTTGAGATTGACCCTTCGAAACTTGGCAAACATAGCACTTTGCAACTATCTTACCAAAATCTCGTTTAAGTTGAGGCCAATAAAACCGCTCCTCGACGCTGCTCGTCGTCTTGTCTCGTCCCAAATGACCGCTTAGCCCGCCCGCATGTAGATCCACAATTAACTTTTCGCGAAGAGAAGTCCTCGGAATGCACAGTTGGTTACCTCTAAATATGAATCCTTCACTAATATAATAATCCTCCATCGGCTGTCGCGCAACACACTTAGACCATATTTCTCCAAAATCCTCATCTCCCTCGTACAGCTCCTTCAAACACTCCAATCCGACCACTTCTTCACTAAGAGTGGTAAGTAATGCAGCTCGCCGACTTAGGGCATCTGCGACACGGTTCATGATTCCACTCCGATGCTTGATGACAAACGGAAACTTCTGCAGGAAATTTGTCCACCTCACATGCATGTTGTCGACACTTTTTTGACTATTCAGAAACTTCAAAGCTTGGTGGTCGGTGTATAGTACGAACTCTCGCTGTATCAAATAGTGTTCCCACTGTTTCAAAGCTCGAACTATTGCATAAAATTCTTGATCGTAAGTGCTCCACTTCCTTCGTGTGTCACTCAATTTCTCGCTGAAGAAAGCCACGGGACGCTTTTCTTGGGACAAAACAGCTCCAACGCCTACTCCCCTGCCGTCACATTCTACTTCAAACACCTTCTCGAAACTAGGCAAGGCTAGGACAGGTGCATTACTTAATTTCTCCTTGATCACTGCAAAACTCTGATCTGCCTTGTCACCCCACATAAATTTTCCCTTCTTCATACATTCAGTAATTGGTGCCATGATGGTGCTGAAATTCCGAATGAACCGTCTGTAGAATGTCGCCAATCCATGGAAACTCCTGACTTCCGAAACATTCTTAGGCGTGGGCCACTCACGAATTGCCCGAACCTTTTCATCATCGACATGAATTCCTTCCGCCCCAACTATAAATCCCAAGAACAGTAATCGACTAGCCATAAATGTGCACTTCTTCAAATTGATAAACAGCTGATTATCCCTCAAAACAGTTAACACCTCACGCAGGTGTCCCATATGCTCGTCTTCGTGTTTGCTATAAATCAGGATATCATCGAAATACACAACGACAAATTTTCCAGAAAAGGGTCGTAATACCTGATTCATCACGCGCATGAAAGTGCTGGGCGCGTTCGATAACCCAAACGGCATCACCAACCATTCGTATAAGCCATCTTTTGTCTTGAACGCTGTCTTCCACTCGTCCCCGGGTCTAATCCGAATCTGATGATACCCACTTCGAAGATCGATTTTTGAAAACAGCTTCGCACCTTCCAGCATATCCAACATATCGTCAAGCCGCGGAATGGGAAAACGATACTTTATGGTAATCCGATTTATTGCTCTACTGTCGACACACATCCTCCAGCTGCCGTCTTTCTTCTTCACTAGTAGCACAGGCACCGCACACGGGCTCATACTCTCTCTAATAAACCCCTTTTTCAGCAGCTCCTCCACTTTCTCTCGCAAAACCTCACATTCTTGCGGATTCATCCGATAATGTGGCAGATTTGGTAGGCTAGCACCGGGCACTAAATCAATGTGGTGTTGAACGTCTCTCATAGGCGGCAACGAATCCGGTAGGTCATTGGACACCAACTCGTCAAACTCCGTAAGTAACGGTTGCACACTCTTAGGAATTTCGACGGTTTGTTTATGAACCTCCTCTTCCTTTTGAATTCCCAAAGACCTCATCATCGTCACGTATACTCCGGCTGCTGATTCGACATCTTTTATGAATTCGCTCTCAGATTGGGAGACCACAAAAACTGGTTCTTTTTTCGCTATTCTGGCAGGCTTGACCGTCGACTCCGATCGGGGTAACATCACAATCTTGCGCCCACCCCATTCAAATATGCATGAGTTTTCTCTCCCCTGATAGGTCATATTAACGTCGAATTGCCAAGGCCGACCGAGTAGTATGTGGCTAGCATCCATGTCTATCACGTCGCATGACACCTCATTGGCATAGTTCATTCCTATTGAGATAGGCACACGACACACTTCTGTCACTTTGACTGTTGGTCCTCTCTGAACCCACCCAATAGTGTAGGGGACTGGGTGTTTTTCCACCGGTAACTTTAAATAACCTACCAATCTTCTCGCAACAAAATTTTCACAACTACCATTGTCAACTATCAGATCGCACACCTTCTTATTAACTGAGCACTGAGAACGAAATATGCTATTTCGTTGGTTTTGCTGCATCGCCGTACAAAGAACTCGTTGCACCACGCAGTTAACTTGCTCTCCATTCTCCTGACTATGATATTCTGCCGTATCCTCTTCTTCTTGAAAAACGTCTTCATCGTAACCTTCTTGATCACTCTCGCCTCTCTGCTCCGACCCACCTACTAAGTTCACGGGTCTTCTCTCAGGGCACTCGTTAGAGCGGTGCCCAGGTTTGTGACATCTAAAACAGTTTCCAGGGACTGGTCTCGCATAAGGATTGTTTGTTCGAGGCTGAACGGGCGTGCTCGAACTACCGGCACCGGCTCTCGTCTGGATCTGTGGTGCCCGTGTTGGCGGGGCAACAGGATTAGGGTTTTGGGATACGAACTTACCCCTATCAACCGGCGGTGGTGCATAATTTGGCGGTCTACGATAATTATTCACGTTGTTCCGTCGCTCAAATTCTTCTGCTCGCAATGCCATACTCTGCGCATCCTGGATGGTATAAACTGGTTGCAAACCTATTCGGTCACGGATATTAGCTTTCAACCCGTTCAAATACCTGGCCACTTGCTGGTTCTCCGACTCCCTTAAATTATTTCGATCTGCCAGCTTCAGGAATTCTGTGGTGTATTCGTGTATAGATCTACTACCTTGCGAACAATTATGGTATAAATTGTATAAGTGTTGTTCATAGTCGGCCGGTAGGAATCGATCGTGAAGAAGCCCCTTCATCCTCCTCCAAGACTGCACTGGGCCCTTCCCTTGTCGAGTCCGTGATCGCTGCAACTGGTCCCACCATACAGCCGCACCACTTTTCAACTTGTACGCAACCATCTTGACCATCCTCTCGGGTGGGGTGTTCATCACATCAAAAGCACTCTCCACTTCGACCACCCAATCCAGAAAATCCTCTATGGAGAGGTTTCCATGGAAAGGTGGAATCTCAGCCCTTGTTGGATAATCGTCGTACTGCCTTTGTCCCTGCCTAGGTTGATTTCCGTCGGCTATTGCTCTGTCGTTCTCATCCAAGTCTTCATCACTGTCCGGGTGAAGATATGGTTGGTTATGAATCTGATTCCTAACATGTGCACCTCGGGCTAATTCCCCAGCGCGCGCTATATTAGGTTCGCCCCTCCTGTTGTTGCCATTGAGGGCAATTCCCTGTAGCAACTCCCGAAGTTGTTGCAGCTCACCTCGAATCTCTACTCGAAATTCCTCTATAGTCTGTCGAGATTCTTCTCGAGCGAGCTTGACTGCTGCCTGAATGTTATCAACCTCGAGGTCATCGCCATCGCGGTTGTCGTCTCCTTGTTTCGCACCTTTCGCCATCTAACCAGGAAAAACCTCGCTACTGATGCCAACTGACGCAGAACGGAAGCACGGAAAGAATTAATTTCTACGAATTAATCCTATAGAACACGATAACTCTGGAATCCACCAGATAATTGAGAGAAAACTCAGAAATTTTTATTAATAATGAAGATGCTGAAAAATAAATCCTAGAGCAACTATTTATACTAAAAAAAACGAAAAACCTAATCAAACTAGGAAAACGAGAAAATTACCAAAAAAAAAAAAGGAAAAACCTAATCAAACTAGGAAAACGAGAAAATTACCAAAAAAATAAAAATAAAATAACTCCTAAACCTAATAGAATACCGAAAGTTGGAAACAACCCAACTTGCGGAATTCAAATCCTAATCAAACTAGAATTCCGACTCCGCCACCTCTGCATCAATCCGCCACCTCTGCATCACCAGATAAAGATTTAAGCAACGTGATATAATCTTCTATATCATTATCGTTCGAGCTGAGTTGCCAGGAGACAATATAAAGGTGGCCTGTAAAAGTGTCTCACATTGGCTAGGGGCCTAGCTTAACAATGAAAACAATATCGAATAACTTATAATAAACAAAATGTGAACCTTGAACTCCAACGACATTCCAGCGAGCAATCTTGTCAGAGCAACTTACAGACAAAGTTGTATCTCCTCGACCAGGCTTCTTTTGAACTGTACCGGTAACTTGAAAACAAGCACCTAGAAACAAAATCTTAAAAATTAAATTGCAATAACGAAGTCAAACTGCCAGTATACGTTACATGTTCAAGCATTCGTTACATAAAATACCCATAATTACCATTCTGACATGCAGAATCTTCCGGAGAGACACATTCTGTACTCCATTTCTCAGAAGAACTGCTACTTAAAGAATTGAACAACTGAGAATTAAGTGATGCGTCTCCACCTATCGAAACCAGAGAGAAGCATAATTGGTCAATGCAAAAAGCGAAATCACGTAAAGACAACAAAGGCAATGTGAAAAGCTACTACCTACATGGCAATTGCGACACGTACAAATGCAACTGCCAGCCAGGTTTCAATTTCAATTTTCCTTGGCCAAGCTTATTATCTGAGCTCAAACAGAAGATCGAGTTATTAGTGACGTCACTCTGCAATGCCAAGCTTCTACTACGGCTACGATCGACACACTTTTTCGTAATGCAGTCGATCTCTGCATAGAAGTACCTGATAGATTAAATATGCAGCTGACTTATTAATTAATTGGCCTGAAATTTGATTTCAACATGTGAAATTCAATCAAAGCCAATAATTCCAGAAACAAAAATCCCAAACCTAAGAAGAGATCTCCTGGCGATAACTTCAGCGTGCGAATCGTTCACAACGTCGCCTCTGTAACTCCTCCTCGAATGCCCTATGCATTTCGTTCCCGTGCCCAGAGCCACCACTTTTAAATCTAACACATAAAACCGAATCACAAAAAGCTTAAAGCTAAAGTTGAAAAATCAAGCAAATTAATCGGGAAATTATGAATCTAGGGCATTTTAATTTGAAGTTACCGACCTTGTGAATGATTGGAGAGGAGAAACGCAGCTAAAACAGTGACTTCTCGGCCTTGTGGCTTTCCTTTCTTCGGGAGAGAACTGTAAATTGACGCTACCGCTGCTGAAACCTTCTCCCCCCATGGCTGCTCCGCCACATTCTCCGGCGAGCACGACGTACTCTCCGGCGGAGGAATAGTGGCCGAGCGGGAATCCATTTCGGGAGCAAAATCGATACGGTAACATTTGAATTGGGGTTTTTTCATTGGGCCCTGATACGAATATCGCCTTGGTTTCGAATTTACACCCATAACGGGCCACTCAAGCCCATTAATATAACAACCCGGCCCATATTTTTCTGGGGTATACATTTTAATCTAATTTACTATTTTTATTTCCCCAATTATTTACATGATTTATATTTTAAATATATTTATACGGAAACGTATAAAAAGAACTTATATAGAAATAAAATCTTATATATTTCTATATATCATATTTATAAATATACCCCTGTACTTTTAATATTTATATATTTCCCCCAAGTTCCCGTAACTCCAATTTTTTCGGACATGTTGTTTCCATGTATCGTCGTTTCCGTGTCCGTGCTACATAGGCCATATGAAAGGCATAAATGTGAGAAAATTTCAAATTAATTCATATTCAATTAAAATAAGAAAATATTTCACTCTATCAATTAAAATATGAGATGGAATATATTATATCCTTATTATATGAATTTCGAATCCAAATCTTAAAAAGAAAAATGAAAAATGAAAAATTTGGATTATGAGCATCAAAAACTGAATAAGTGATAGATAATCTTGCAATGGTCAATAAATTGATGCAAAGACTTAGGTATAGGCCCCCACCCCCCACCATAAAAGTTAGATATTACCAGATAATAATTAATGATACTACAAGCTGTCTAATAATTTGTGTCCCCCCCCCCCCCACTTCAATTTTGGCGTAATTGTTGGAGTCATAATAATTATTAAAAAAATAAATTAAGAATAAAGAATAAAAGATTTAAGTGGGACTTTATCATATTCTATTGAGAAAAATATATATGAATAATGTGAGTGTGAATCTATTCGATGTTCTCAAACATATAGTTTATTTTGAAAGTTACAACTAATTCTTATGGCAATTAAATTCACGTATATGATCGATTTTAATTGAACATGGTTCACTGATGTAGCATCTACCAAACCGTGTACATCGATTTGAGACGAATAGTGTTGGTATAATTCGTATTCAATAATTATAAAAGAAATAAATAAATAATAAAATTTTAGATGGATATAGAAGTAAGAGGGGTCCCAAAGCTACACTCATTGATAGGGCTGAAAGTCGGAAGGATCGGATCGGAATTAGCCTTTTCGGAATATTTCCAAAAAAATTCGGAAGTACAAAATCAATTCCAATTCCAATTCCAAAAATTTCGGAATCTAAAAATTCATTCCAATTCCAAAAGGCCCGGAAA